GATGCTTCAACCGCCAAACGATCCAGAATGAGTTGCATACTCTGAGGATCGTCACCAAGTAAGGCGATATCATCAGCATAATCTAAGTCGGTCGCGCGCTCACCCGATAGAAGCTCTAGGCCAAAATGTTGGAAACCTTCTAGAGGATTCGACAGAACGTCTTCGGTTGAGAAGTTGAAGAGGAATGGGGACCCAAGGCAGCCCTGTTGCACACCGCTATTGACAGCGAATTGTGAGGAGAGCTTTCCATAGACCCTCTGCTGGATGTATGAAGGTAAAGTGCTCGTAAGATGGCGGTATATTTCTCTGGCACCCTGTTCTTTAGTAAGCAACGCCATAAAGCAGGTCGATCAACGGAGCCAAATGCGACACGTATGTCTAGGAATGCAATGCTAGTGGGCCTGTGATAAATGTGGCAATGTTCGAGGAGCTGCCAGAGCGTGAAGATTTGATCCACGCATCCGCAGCCAGGACGGAAACCAACTTCTTCTTCACGGTAGTATGATTCCCGTACTGGGGATAGCCTGCGAAGCAGGATGGCTGCAAATAGCTTAGAGGCAACCGAAATGAGACTAATCCCGCGATGATTTGCACATGAAGTGCTAGCGCCTTTCTTGAAAATCGGGGCAATAATTGATTCGCCCCAAGAGAAAGGCACTTTCTCTTCATGCCAAAGTTTTGCGAACAGCGCGGTCAGCTGGTTAATGATCGCCACACCGCCGTACTTGAATAGTTCCGGAGGAAGTCCGTCTAAGCCGGCAGCCTTGAAGCGCCCCAAGCGTCGAATCTCGAGGCAGACTTCCGCTTCGCTGGGTGGATTCATTGGGACGAGTCAGGGTGGACAACAAGGTGTACTGCATGTACTGATGGATGGTGGAGGCCAGTTGAACTGCGAATGAAAGTGCTCGACCCAGCGGTCCATACTCCTCTGTTGGTTGGTGATCGGAGACTCATCCATCTCACAAGTGACCTCACTGACACCAGGCTTCCTAAGGCCAGTGGACCGAATGAGTTGGAAAATCCTGCGAGTGTTGCCAGGCAGGGCAGCGGTCTCCGTCTCTAAAGCAAGCTCAGATCACTATGTCTCGCGATCCTTGCGTAGGCTTTGCTTGAGCAGCCGGTTGGCAGAAGGGCGCCGCTCGTTGCAATCTAATTCCGCGGGGATATCTATGCGGCGTTCGAACAGCTCCAGAGAACGAGCAGAGATTCAAGCCTTAAACGGGCGTCGAATTAGGCCGCAGCATGACTGTCCGGAAATGGTCAGCGCTTTCCGTATACAAGTCCAGTGTTGTTCCACTTCTTGCGGTGGATTGCAACTGAGTGCATGTGCCAGTGAAGACTGATAGCTCGCCTGGACAGAGGAATCAGTTAATCTGTTTACATCAATCTTGCGGTGCTTCATGTTTCGGGATCCTCCAAAACACATACAGATTTTCGCGCAGACCAGAGCATGATCTGAGTCAACGAAGGTGGACCAAAAGGACCTACAGTCCAGTACGCTGCCGCGCCATCTGAAGCTAATTGCAATGTGATCAATTTGAGACCACGGTTGTGTTGAAGAAGGGGGACGCCACGTTGCGGAACGCTTCTTCGTACGCCTGAAGTTAGTGCTCGAAAGAAACAGACGGTTGTCTTCGCACAATGTGAGAAGTCTCTCTCCGTTATCAGAGCGGTTCTCATCGAGCGCGTGATGACCACCAAGGTGGCGTTTGTATGGTAACAGGCGGCCAACCCGTGCATTAAAATCCCCAGCAAGGACAACGACATCCGACTTTTTAGCATTAGTCAAGAGCTGTTGTAGATCCCGGTAGAATTCGTCCTTGACCGAGTCGCCACTGCAGTCATTTGGAGCGTACACGGAGATCACAAACAAGTTGTGTCTCTCTTCGCGGTGCCTGTTGATTCTACATGAATCCCGAAGCCGAACTGCACATAGTCGGCTGTTAATAGGGAACCAGTCCAGTAGTGCCGCCTCGGCCTTGCCACTTAGTGCTATACCTACGCCAGCCAAAGCCGCTGAGGCTGCTTCTGGATCTCCAGAAAGACGCAGGTGATATCTGGCTTCGTGGTCAGTGGGGGATGTCAATGTAAGCACAGTGCTGGGATCTTGCAATCGGGTTTCTGAAAGGCAGCAGACATCAATGTCTAGGGAATCTAGGGTGCGCGCTAGACCGGCTTGCTGTCCAATCTGCATGAGTGTCCGAACGTTGAAGCACGCCAGACGGAACGAGGATCGGGGACGAAGGAGAGCCATAGGTTGAACTCCTTGGTCTGCGGCGCAACCGGAATCGCAGCCAGATTGTTGAACACATGAATCGGGTAACGGAAAGTGAGGATTGTTAACAAACAAACAATTGGCGTGTGATGAAGTAGCGTGAAAGTGACTAGCAGAAACAGTAGCTGATGAGCACGTTGTAATACAGTCCATGGTTTTGCGAGAGGGCGTGATACTACCCGGTTGCCCAAGCCGAAGTAGGGAGTTGACTTAGGGGACTCCACCCGAGCCTTTGGCTAAATAACCTACCCGCAAGGCAGCGGGACGAATTTAGGGAATCGCGCCCATTGGGAGGCGTTGACTGAATGTTCAGTTCATGCGTCTTTGTTTGGTAGATTACCAAACAGGGGCCCAATACTTCCCATGAAGTCAGCACAATTGCTGGAATACAATGTCCCACCGAGGTGGAACATTGTCGCCGAACACTTTGCTGGAACGGGGTACACCCGAACCACCCAGCTGGCACCACGAGGAGGTAGTTCGGCAAGCCAGCCAGGGACAAAGAAACTCACAGCACGAACGCCAATGAGGTCCGCTCCTAACCATATCAGCAAGTGTATCTAGCCAAACGTGTTCATCTTATTTCCCACCCCAACCAGAGAGCCGAGACGCTCCAACGTAAGCCAGCTTCGAAGTGAGGGGCTTCATTCCTCTTGACCAAGTAATCGCTTGGCCACCCCTTCTCTTATTCCGTCCACACCCCACGGAGCGCAAGCAACGCACGTCAAGGGAGTCGGTGGACTGGCATGCGTAACACGTGGCCGAGTCATCGGGGCTTGGTGCGTGAAATAACGGCGCTGTGCGGTTCAGTTCCTTTTCCTGTGCCGTAAACAAGGCGTCGAACACGCTCGTTGCTCACGCGGTGTTCCCACCAAATGTGAGCTAAATTGCGAAGGCACCGGCGGTCGAACGCAACTAGCCTCTTTATGTCCGCTGATTTAAGGGGCCAGGTTTCGCAACAGTGCATTATACACTCTACCCTTCAGGGCAAGATTGATGTCGCGTCGCCGCCATAAGTGACGTAGGTTAGCAAAAGCGCCTTGAGATTTTGCTATACCGTTCGTGGTCTCATCTACAATCCCACGGACGCTGATACAACTTTCCAGGTAATTAAATTGTTGAAGTACTTCTAGCTGATCACCACCAGGGGTTAGCGAAGGAGGCAGTCCAGACCAACCTTGAAGGAACGCTTTGCACTTAGAGGGTGCGAAGCGAAGCCCGAAGTGACGGATGGCCAGTGCTAATCTGTCTATTGCCGCTTGGCTTGTTTGTGAGGTATCACAGATTAGGGCAATATCATCAGCATACTCTAAGTCAAGAAGTCGTTCACCTGGGAGTAGCTCCACACCTTCTAAGTTGTGTCCTTTAAACGCGGTTTCCATGACTTCATCAATAGCGAAGTTGAAGAGGAAAGGAGACAGTGGGCATCCTTGTCTCACACCGCTGGACATAATAATGGGCGATGACAACTTGCTGTAAGCCGTCAATCCGCCCCAGCTACGCGAGTATAATGCTCGGATAATATTTACATATTTCTCAGGTACACCTGTCCTGAGTAGACAGTCCCAAAGTACACGTCTATCCACCGAATCGATTACACTTTTTATATCGAGGAGCACAACGGTGGGCAGGCAATATATGTGACGGTGCTCTAACAACTGGCGCAAAGATATGGTACAAGCAGCCACGACCTCGACGAAACCCGGCTTACTCTTCACGAAGTTGGCTATCACCAGTGTCAGTCAGTCGGTGAAAGATGACAGAGGCAAGCAATTTGGAGACGATGGAGATCAGACTGATTTCTCTATGGCTGCTACATTCTGACCGTGAGCCTCACTTGAAAATTGGGACCAGGAAGAAGAGGCTCCAGTCCGTGGGGACAGTTTCACTAGTAACTCATGTAAATTATCCAAAAGAACTGGTCACCCGAATTTGAAGAGGGCTGGAGGAAGATGCGCTCGTCCCGGGGCTTTATTTAACTTCAGCAGTCTGATCTCACCTTTGAATTATGAGCAAAAGGGTGGATCCATACTGAGAGCCCACGGAGCGGGGCGATCAGTGGCAAGCAATAAATATAACAATTCCGGCCTATTAAATTGCCTTTCAAAATGCTCAGCCCAATACTCCAAGCGTTTTGGCTATTTGTGGATAGGCTGTCCACTCTTGTTACGTATAGTTTCACTAACACCAGGTCTTCTGCTGCCCGTTTCCCTATCAGCCGGAATAACTTAGGATGGTTACCAAGGGCAGCAGCTATTTCCATCTCTGAAGCAAGATGAGACAACCAAGATTCGCGGTCTTTCTTCATGCTAGCACAGAGTTTTGCCCGGAACACTTTTCTAGTTTCATTCTGTTCGCTTCTAGCAGGAATATGCCGACAAGCATCTATAAGTTCCAGAGACTGTGAAGAGACCCAATGTCCATGTTGGCGATTAGACATACCACATGAGGATTTTCCTGCTGCTAATAAGGTCTGGTAAATATGAGACCAGTGAGCTTCAATTGCATCCAGTGAGCGTTTATTCAACTCGCATGACAGCGTACTTTGATGTTCTGAGCAGTACGCTGACGGTTGCACACACGGGCTGCAAGTTTACTGTTACCTCTTGATTTTGGCCGGATGTTCATCGACATTTTATGCATTTCGGATTACAGATTCATGCGCACTTTGAACCACGTTCCCTTAAATTTTTCCGTAAAAGTTTGGTTTCCAGTTATTTTTAACACTTGGACGGCCCCTTTTTGCTAAGCCAGGATGTAACATTGATGATGAATCGACGTTCACTTTTCTGAGTGCCAGTAGTTCACGGATAAAACGCCATTTATCCCAACGTGTGCTTGAGCATCTAGCTTGCTTAGAGTGTAAATCTCGGAAAAGCCGTCGGAATAGATGGAGTTTGTTTGCCGTACTCGTTCGAGTTTATTTTGCGATGCTGGTGTTTGCTCCAAGGAACGCCTGAAAATTACAGACATTGCATGAGGTGGTTCGGATGCACGAGAATGACAAAATAACGGTCTCTGCATCCGCTCCTGATTGAAAATTTGCTAAGGAGAAAGCGTGGTTCACCGTAGTGTGTTGAGCTTGAATGACAGATCAGGAACATTACAGTGGCCAGCGTTGCTTGAACCCCACTAAATTGACGCACGGCATCCTACTGTTTCTGGTCGTCTATTACATTTCCTTTGATAGATATGGCCTCGTATTCAGGCACGTTTGAGCACACAACAGGAGAAGAATTCTGTCAACTTCTAGCGTTCGACTTTATGAAAGACTGTGGATACCATCTTTTGTCGGACAACAGATGACATATTAATTCCTGTGGTAGTATTAGTGGCTCTGATTTCTTCCAGTATGGTACTGTTGGAAGCTATGGTGGACAGTTCCTCTGTCATGGGAGTAGACACAAAGGACGCGTATTTTTTGGACTCATAACAAAGTTTAATGCACCGCGAGGCTTTGATGAATTATGCTGTTTGAGCGGATCGTTAGTAGGGTGCCTCGTATTGGAGCGTAGTCAGCTTGTTTTGAGTGTCTAACTTGTGATCACTACACTCACACCAGACTTGTTAGCAGTGTTTCATATTTTAGTTTGATGTCATACGAATATTTTGCTGCTCTGATTCGTCTGGGTCTAGTAGGGTAAATCTTACGGCAGTTACTCGCTCTTAATCTTTGACAGTCAATTGCACTTTTGCACAAGCGTTATTACCAAGCTGACAATTGGAATAATGGACAGAACCAAACTAAATCCGTCATGCTATTACGAATCTTTACCTTGCTTGCGCTAAAGTGAGAGAAGACAGGATAAAATTTGTAACAATGCACTCTACTATAGCTTGTGCGTTCTACAAACGGCTTTCATAATTGGCGTTTATTTACATTGCTTTTGGCAAAGCTCTTCGTGGGTGAGCAGTGCGTGCCGTGATGATCGCCAATTCATTGGCGTTACCGGAAGCATCTTTTGCCGTAGGCTCTATCCGAGCAGGCTAAATCCGTCGTTCTCAGTCACTGTGTTACTGACCCACACATATTTTGGATAAATATTCTGTGGGCTACTCGGGGAAATGACTATATACTGCTGTACAGGAACACGTCAAACCTCACAACTTGAATTGGGTGACGATCGGAGGATTAAAAACGCCAGACGTGGTCATGACATAAGAAGAGTATATCGATCACTGTGAATCCGACGAACTACGTCAGCCGGCTGATGGGTGCCTTGACCTTACTTATGGTTCTGACAGTGGGAACGAACCTGGAACCGGACGCACAGCTATCAATTGCAAACGTTTGTGCATCTGACGCACATAATATCAGATAGGGATGTTAACTTGATTGGTGGAAGACCCGCGAAAGTCCTTTCAAATGAGAGTAATCCTTTGGTTGTATACCCAGAAAGTGAAGCGCGTGCACGTCTATGTCACTGTACACAATGCATAAATATTGTGGATTGAACTTACAATAGTATCCAAGAAACATAGATCCAACATGTGATAGCTACTGAGTCGAACTGGTTCGTATGAGTTTAAGCACAAGCTTATGGGAGGAGGATTAGAATGACAACAACGATTGAATGGGAACGCGGATAGACCGCGGCCGTACGGCAACGTGACGTCCAGAGATTTATGCCGCAGCCACCAAGCGCATGAAGTACGCTCCAGATTTTCAGGTTGGCCGCTGAAAGAGCGCAGATCGACGGGATAGACATAGGTAGCTTGGTGGTCTACATAAAAATCCTTGCCTTGTAACGCCTTACTGTTTGGTGCATGCCAATCAACTTGTAGTCGCTGCGCCGATGTCTCCATATGAGTTTAACCACTATCAGAAGATCAGACTGGGCGCTGTTAGATGGATAGTCTAGTGACGGTCATAAATCCTAGGTTTAGAATGACAGCACCAAGCTTTAGTAAGTGACCCATCTAAGGATTTATACCTTGGACATAATCAGCGAAACATGAAAATGTTGATTGATATTCGACTGTCTAAAGAACTTGTCAAAAGAGCGTTGCTAGAAAATGACTGCAAATCGCCAAACGTCAATTGTGTTGTAGTCTTTATCAGTTGAAATAAGCATAATAGAGGGAAAGCTGAAAACAGCGCTAATGCGGAAGCAGCAGTTGCATGTTATCCCTTGCCCTCCTGTATGCAGTGCATAAGGTGATACATTTTAAACTGCGCGACGGCCGACGCAAGATGATTTTGGACGTTGATACTAAATTCAATC